CCAGTTCTGGGTGCAACATTTCAGGAAAGATGTGGAAAAATTGGAAAAAGTGTAGAGAGGAGCAACAAAAATGACTAAAGGCCTACAAAACATGATCTATGAGGGAAGAGGGAAAGAATTAGGTTTGTTTCTTCTGGGAAAGAGAAGACTGAGAGGGGACATGATAACTTTCAAGTACTTTTATAAGTGGTTACAAAGAGGAAGGACGAGGAGTCCTGTCGCACCTTATAGACTAACAGATTTATTGGAGCATAAGCTTTTGTGGGCAAAGACCCTCTTTGTCAGATGCATGTAGTGGAAATTCCAGAGGCAGGTATAAATAAAGAGAAGGGAGGAGAAATTATTCTCCTTAACCTTGGAGGGTAAGACAAGAAGCAATTGTCTTAAATTTGAGTAAGAGAGGTTTAGGTTGGACTATAGGAAAAACTTCCTAGTTGTCAGGGTGATTAAACACTGGAATAAATTGTGTACAGAGGTTATAGAATCTCAATCATTGGAGATTTTTAAGAGCAGGTTACACAAACTCATGTCATAGATGATCTGGATGGTGCTTGAGAACTGGACTCAATGACCTCTTGAGGTTCTTTCTGGTTCTCATTTTCGTTCTAGACATGCTCTTGAAATTTCTGGTTTTCACCCCCACCCACACACACACATTTTTCAAGATAATACTCAGCTTTCTGGAAATATTTTCAGCTAGTCTTTTCCAACAGGAAAATGTTTCAATTTTTTCTTAATTCTCTTTATTGTAGCACTTAATTTTAGGAGGCAGTAATAAGAGAGTCAGGGAATCAGTTTTGAATCGTTTCATGTTCGCTTCATAGTCTGGGAGTTTCTTTCTCTTGTGATCTGGGGTTGGAGTCTCAAAGGCAAGCTTTCTCTCTTTGTAGAAGTCCTTCTGAGAGTGCTTGTGGATTTCCCCTATAATTCATGAGGAAGAGGGGCTTTTTCCATGTAACTTCGGTTAATGATTTTCCTTTTTTCCTGTTAGGCAGCAAAATCCATGACACATTAAAGACTAACACCAGGTTTCAGTGCTGTGCCAGACAAGAAGGGAGCACTAAAAAAAAAAAAAAAAAAACAGCAGCATTTCCTTCAGTCCGGTTTCCCCTCATGCCCACCCTGTCCTCAGCTAGAGATGAGCTGTCAATGTGGAGCTCTTTCACCGACTTCCGTGTGCATATGTTTGCTACCATAGAGGCATGGTGTTTTCTCTTTAAAGCTTTGTGTCTTAAGTTATTTGCCTAAAATTTTTACATGATGCAGAAAGAAGAGAGAAAGATGAGTCACCCATGTGGTGTTTGTTCCTTCTGCCATTCTCTTCAAACTCTAGTGCTTTGAACTTTTGTGAGGTAGCTGGTTTCACATTGGAAATCAGCTTTTAAAGGTGAAATGTGATCACTGATCTTGTGGACTTACCTAGGACTTGCCCTTCTGCAGGTCTGTAAAGTTTTATCTACCAGTAGTGAAACTGGAACACATTGGGATGTGTAAATAGGGGGATTGGTGAGAGATTGGCTTGTAGCGGCCTTGTGTGATGCTGTGACCATGGAATAGCTGTGTGCTGATCCGGGTGTACATACTTTCCCAGCCAACTACAATTTGTTAATATCATTCATAGGGCTAGTACAACCCAGAAAACCTTGAAGACATTTTGTCAGCTTTGCCTCCTGTCTCTAAAGGTTTTGTTTCCTAGTCAACAATTAAGCAAACTCCAGAACTCAGTTTTGCAAAAGGCCTTACGGTAGGAGTCGGATGTATTTCCTTTTAATGAAGGGGTAAATGAAAAAGGATGAACCACCACCTTAAAAGCATATTAAGTTGTAAGGACCAATAAGTTTTCCTTTTCTTGATAATGAGACAAAGATAGTCTAACTTTGGTTAAACATCACTTTTACTTTTAAATGCTAACTTCATATGAATAAAGAGGTACTGTACTTGCTTTTGAAGTTCAAAGGGAATGTATAAAGTTACAAATGGCAAACTTTAGAAATGGTAAAGGGATCCTATTCTTCCTTTACCCTCCGTGTCCCAAAACATTCTCCCGTTCAAGATAGTTTTTGTTTTTGTTTTTGCATGCACTTGGGAAAAACACAAGTGGTATCTGATTTTAGTCTTTTCATACTGGGCAACTTCTGTTGTTGTAGACTTTTTTTTTTCTTTTGAAGGGAGCAGAAGGAAATATCTAACAAGGCTGTGGGCTGGTGCTGATTCAGCCTGCATTGGCCAATTGCCTAGCTCACCACAGACGCTACAGGAAGAGAGGTCGTGTGACAGTGATTCAGGTCTTATGTACACGAGAAACTGTCTGCCAGTATAGCTATACTAGCAGAAGTACCCAGCGTTGCTCAGGTCTTTAATGGAAGTAAAAAAAAAAAGTTTAAATAAATGAAAAATGTACAGGCTTTCTTCAATTACTATTTTTCTACAGTAAAAGCTGTAATGAGTTCAGAGTGAGGAGGGGTAGGGGATTGGTGACTTAGGGCAGAGGGAGGGAGGTGGGGAAGCTCAGGGCAGGCGGGAAGGGCAGGGGCTCAGGCCAGGGGTTGGGAGTGCTTACTAGGGCTGCCCATGGTAGTGAGGTTGGTGGTGCTTTGGCAGCTGCCCAGGACCATGCTGTTTGGGGAGAGGGGACCATGCTTCAAAGGCTGCTGCCCTCTGCAGCAGTGCCCTTTGCAGACTGTTGGGAGGGAGGGGTGAAGATCCAGGAGCTATCCTCCCTTGCAGGATGTCTGAGAGGGGCCTGCAGGCTCTCAATAGGTTAGGGGCAGGCTTCAGGTTTGAAGCAGGGGGGCTCCTTATCAGTGTGCTGGAAGGCAAGATAGCAGAGCCCTAGCCCTGCTGGCCACATTCTTGGTCAGGTAGGCAATAATTTTTGATGGTGGGGCCACTCCAAGAATTTGGTAAGTGGTCAAGGGCCGCACTCTTCCATTCTATGAATGAAGGAGGTGTGGATAAAGGAGAGGATTGTGACCTGGGACAAGGGACTGGGGTGCAGGGTTTGGCAGGGGAGTGTGACCTGGTGCAGTGGTTTGGGTTGTGACCTAGCACAGGATTTGGGGTGTAGGGTCTGGGAGGGGGTATGCATGGAGGAGAGGATTCTGGCTTAGATGTGTAAGAAGAGGGAGTGCAGAGTCTGGGAGGCGGCTGTATCCTGGGACAGGAATGCAGAAGGTGGTCCAGGGTCTGGAAGGTGTATGGGGGT